AATAAAGAAGATAGAAAGAGTTTAGAATTAGTGGTTAATATAGATTTTGTTAGATTAATTTGTATATTTGCTATTTGGTAAAAAAATAAGACTATTGTAGTGATTTAAGTTATTTGTTTTTTAGATTAAGCTATCCATAATGTATTATCTATATAGGCCAATACAGAAATTAAGATTTGAAGATATTGGCTAGTTTGTGGTTGTAAACTAGTTAGTCATGAGGTAAATAATATATATTCTGTAAATTGTGAAAAGATTTTATAAATAAGAAAATTATAATAGATTCTTCAAAAAAGTAAAGTAATAGTTTCTTCATAATCAATACTATTTTTAACAGTATAGGAGTTGGTGAGTTTAAGATTAGTGATAACCTTATTATAGTAATTTAATAGAAAGTTGATAAGTATGTTAATAAGTTTGGATAGTATATTGATACATTGAAGAGATAGTTTGAATAAGTCAATATTAACTGAATTATAGACTTAGCTCATATTCTAAAATAGGAGCCAAAGTTTTTTTGAATTATAAAAAGTTTCTTAAATTATATTATTGAGTATATGAATAGAGATTGCAGTACAGTTGCCTAGAAATGCAATATAGTTATAAAAGAAAGAATTAGATATTTGTTAAATATATAGTTTAAATAGTTAGTTAGAAGTTTAGTATATAATTTTTTGATATATTCTAAAAGACTGATAGATTTGGTATTGGATAGGTTACTATTGAAGATAGATTTTTGAAAATTAAGAATATTCTTTTCTCTTTTTATTGTTTAGAAATTGAATTAGAGATGATATATTTGTTAAATAGAGTAATAATTGCTTGCAAGAAGAAAAAGCCAGCATGTTTAAGCATTTTATAATTGATTCTAGAGAGGCCACATGCTTTGTTGTTAGGAAGTAGAAACTTATTCTAAAAAAAATTCATTAAAAGCACTATTATATCATACAAATTAGATATTAGTTTTTGGTCTGTATTCATTTTGTCATATAGAGTTGAATATCTGTTGGTTAATATTTTTGTAATCTGTCTATTTATCAAAGTATTGTTAAATATATGATTTAATCTCTTGTATATTTATAATATTATTATTTTCTGTTTTAATATTATTGAATCTAACTAGGCTTTTTAGTAATTTAGTATACTGTTAATTATAGATTTAGGATTAGATAAGAGCTTGTCACATCTTTTGAAGATATTATCATTAATTTGTTGTTATATTTATTTAATATTTTCTAGTGCTTGAATTCAAACATAAAACCAAATTTTTGAATAAGCATCTTTTTTATATTTTTTAATTTAAATATAAAATAAATATTTGTTAATTATCTAGTTCCTAATCTGGTTTCTAATCCAGATTATTTCTGGATTTTAATTCTAAAATTTTTTATATAAGTAATATATATAATATAAATAAAAAGTTTGTTTAAAACTTTATAATTAATCAAGGCTTGATACAAATAAATAGAGCTTTTATTTTTGCAAAATTTATAAGATTTTTAGAGATCTTGAAACTAAATATTCTCTTTTCTTATGCTACTTCTCTTTTACTATCTATATAGCATTTTTGTTTATAATTATATTTTTTCTCTTATATGATTAAAATATATTATTTTTACTGTAAATATATATATAGAAAATTTTTTAAAATAGAAAATCTAGCTTGAGTTAAATTGGGTACAAACTATAGAATTTTTATTAATTATAAATACAGGTTTTTTTTAAATAGTTAAATTGTCAATATATATACAAAAGGTGTATATGCTTTAAATTAATTTTTTACAATATAATACTAGATTTAAGTCTACTGAAAAGTTTTAAAATTAGTAAAATGTAACAAACTTGGGTTTTTATATATAGTCGATACTATCTAATTACATACTGTCTAATTACATATACTCTCTAACTACATAAAATATTTTGGTTTTTAACTATTAACACAAACATGGTTCTTATAACTTAAATGCATATACTGTCTATATGTATGGGGATCCCTTCAATTCACTGATAATCATTTTACTAAATGATCATTTAGCTAATATCATATAGAGTTAGGGTTAAGCATTTCATTAGTTGCAGATATATATTTTACTAAATTTTACCTGGCACAATATCATCTAAATGAGCTGTCAGTGAAGTGATTATCAGTGAATCAATATGGACCTATATATATAAAAAAGTCTCTGATAGATGACATACAATTAGACAGTATTAATTATATATATTTACTGATTAAAGAATTTATTAAGCATATTTTAAATAAAACAAATTCATTATATATTCTTTTTTCCCCTTAAAGCGACAATCTTGCCTGTATGTCTTTTTATTAAGGTAACATATGATTACATCATTAATATACAAAGTCTATCAATGAAGCTACAATTAGCCACACGTACAACTTTAGTCATTGTCTATTTAAAGGTTCCGCCTACAGGTTACCTGCTAATTGCCATACCTGGAACCCGCCTGTGGATTCCCTATTCAAAGTCTCTGATTTTCAACACTATTGCATATATGTGCAACACCTACATTACCATTTTTATGACATTCATTATATATTCTTTATATTTATCAAACCTAATAAATATACTAAATTTAACAAGTTTACTATATCTACCAGATTTGATACAGTTTTATCTAGATAAAATAATAATATACTAATAAAATATAGTATATATATAGTAGATAGCAATATCATAATATAGCATTACTTAAAAAATTTATATCCAAAGAAAATATATTTGTAGCCAGTACCCTTCATATTATTTAACTATGACTCAAATATAGTACTCAAAATACCAATATTTTGTTTAAGAAAAGAATTCTTTCAAATAAATTAGTATTAAGTGATATATACTTTGCTATCATTAAATTAACTATACATGAAAATAAGTATTCACTAGGGGTTAATGTGGCAGATATAGCTAAATATTTATATGTTAAATTAGCAAAAATTGGAAATTTTTCTTTAATATTTTTTACTTGTTAAGCAGATCAGTTGTAGCTAGTATTTGATTAATTTTAAAATATTTGACTACTTTATTTTTATTTAATATTAATATTGCATCTAATCTAAATATTTTTAAAAAAAGGTTCATCTGATTTGTATTTGAATCAATATTTTTTAGATTACTAACAGGTTCATTTCTTGCACTAAGCAAATTATATTTTTCTCACAAAGGTTAAGAGCCTTATTATATTTCCAATTATTTAATTTTTTTATTGATTTACAGTAATATTGCAATTAAAGAACTGTTAAAAGGTATATTCCAATAGTAGTTTAATGCCTTATATAAATTTGCTTTTACTTTTTCTACAAGATTATCTGTATTTTAAGATTTACTAAGTTTGAATATATCTTCATTTGTTGTAATAATTATTTTTAATTTTTTATTTAAATTAACTATATTCACTTCTTCCTCTTCATCAAAAATAGTTGAAATATTTGTTAAATCAAGCTCTTCATTATTTATACTTGTTAATAATAGTATGCAATTTTTGGTAAAAGTAATAATAGCTAGCTATATAAAACTAAGTATAGAATAATTGCTACCTCCTAGCAATTCTGTAATCTCAGCAAAAGGAGCCAAAAGCTTAGTTAATTCTTCTAGAACTTGCTATTCTTCTTCTGTAATCATTAAAGATTTTAAACAAATTGCATTCTTACAAATATTATAATTATTATCTGCACTCATAGTTAGTATTCCAAATCATTAGTTGAAAACCAACTAGTTGCCAACTTTCCAACTAGTCAATTTGAAAAAATTTTAAACAACTAATCAATTAATTATTCAACTAGTACAATTCTGAGAAATTCAGAAAAATTCCATCTGGTCAAGCAGATCCATATTAATTTTTTTTGTTTGATTAACCAATTATCTGATGATGCTATGTGATGTGAACAATTGATTAGTTGCAACTATAGTTGGCAACTAATGATTGGTAAAATATTTACCAACTCAGAATACTACTCATAGTCACTTCTATTAATTTAATAGCATATTTAATTTGAAGAAGTTTTTTCTAAGCAATATATAAAGAATTCTAGCAGGTGAGGTATCAGATATTGTACAAAAAATTTTTGTTCATTATTATCAATTTTTTTTTGAAACTTTAATAATTCTTGCACTTTTTGTAATTGCTTATTTTGTTTAGATATAATTAAAAAATTAATTAATCTTTTTATACATTTTATTAAAACTTTTGCTGATTTTAATTCTTTACCAATAGCAAGTTAGAGTGTATAGGCTACACAAGAAAGCTATTTTACTTGTTCTATTAAATTAATAGCTTTAATCATATTAGAGCATTGTCAATAATAATTAAAGTTATTTTTTCAGTAAGTTTCTAGTTATTAATTATATCTTCTAATTTAGCTTTAAAATTTACAGCATTATGAAGATATGAAACATGTTTAATTGCAAGTATAACTTCTTTTAACTTATAATTAGAATTAATAAAATACTGTAATATCATACTTCTCTATATTCTCTTTTAGAATATACAGTCCAGAAATCATATGTAAGTCTACATGTTTTAATTTTTTTTGCCAAAGATTTTAAAATATTTAATTAAATAATTATAACTTTGATAAATTAATGCTTTTACATATTTATCTAATAGAAGTTCATAATATAGATTTAATATATGAACAAATTTATTAAAGCCTTTATTTTTCAGAATATAGAGAGGTTGTAAATTTGTAACTATCTATTTTACCAAAGTATGATCAATAGATTTCTTCTGGTAAATATTTTGTCTAGCATTATGGTAAAATATTTAAATAATTGTTAGTTATGAGATTATATTAATAGATTTGTTAGGTTTAGTAATACCATATGTATTTAGATATATTTGAAAATTACTAGTTAAACTCTGGTTTTAACTAACTATTTACATTCTTATCTATTTGGATATAGTTTACTTTTTATAATTACAGTACAATTTGTATGTATTTTTCACTTTCATAATCAAGGTTTTTTGTGAAAATACTGCCAAACCTAACTGCTGTTCTTTCGCAATTTGGTTTTAGCACTAGGTTTCTTATTATAATAATTGGAATTGCTATCTGTATCAAAATGATTAATATCACTATTAAGGTCTACACTGCTATTATCTTTACTTAATATTTTATTACTAATAGTATCAATATCCTCATGATTAGTATCAGGGTTGAATACTGAATTGGAATCAGTATTATCTTTAGATTTTTATTTTTAATATTCATTATTTTATTAAAATATACAAAAAAAATTTTATTTAAATAGTGCTTTAAGAATATCTCAAGTTTAAATTTTAAATAGTATTTTAAAAATATTTTAAGTTTAAATAGAACTGATAAGAAAGAATTGGCTCTGTTTAGTAATATATTAATTTATATTACAGAATAACACAAAAATAATTAAATAAGGTAATAAAGCTATTAATATTTAAAATATTTTTATAAAAAACTTATAGCAATTGATTATATATATAGTCTTATATATTAATATAATTTATTATTTTAATTTTAAAGTGCAATAAAAATATCTTTATGATATTCTATGATATATTGTGCAGTTTCAAACAAAAGTCTGATAAGAATACCTCTATAGTGTTTCATGACATATTGGGTTAAAAAAATATATTATTCGTTTATAAATTATAACTAAAACTGTTTAAAAAAGAATTTTTAAGTATTTTATTATTCTGAAACAGAGAATACCAAAATTAAAAGTATCAATCAAGTATTAAATTTATTAGTAATAGAAAAAAAACATCATATACTGTTACAACAAAAGAGAGACTTCTATTGTACTTCTATTTTAACTCTGGTTATAAGCATTAAAAATAGAAAACCAATAATTTATTATTATACATAAAACAATAAAAATACTAAAAATATAAATGATACAAGTAAATATCTTCCCAAAAGTATACCCAGTATATAAAAAACTTATGCTCTATTCCAATTAAGCAAAAAAAAACTCTTTCTTATTTACAAAGAATATTTCTATTTATATATATTCTATTAGACTCAAATTAACTAAAAAATAATGTAAAAGTCTAATTAAAGTAAACCCTATAACTATAATAAACTATAATATTGCACAAAAAGCTTATTTACAAATATATATCATATTATTTTCATAACAATACACATACTAAAAATGTATACATATATATAAGGTTGGTGATGCAGTGTAACCAAAAATAATATCATATATATAAATAAGCTTCTGATTTAGCACAGTGTAAATTTGGAATGTGCTTACTTTTTCTTAACACAATGTGAATTTCACTTTTGCTCTTCTTCATTTAATTTACACAACTGGTACCAAGATATTATAACCAAGGAAGACACTTTATATCAATATAGCCAATTTAGCTTAGAGTTGTAAGTATAAAAATAAAGAACCAAGTATTTATTATCACATACAAAGCATCAAGAATATGAGCAATACAAGTAAGTATTTTTCTATTGAATGCACCCAGTATATAAATATTTTCTAAAATATCTCTTGTTCCCACTCACAAAACTAAACTAACTACACTTAAGAAAAACTTCTCTAAAACTCTCTAAAAACTAAAGAACTATGATCTGAGCTGCTATCTCTATTTATATACATATTATTTCAATATGTATTCAATAACAATCGAGACTTGAAAAATTTTTATAAAATTAGAATATTGAACTAACTAGAAAAAGAAACTGATTTATTTTTTAATACATTTATTGTATCATTTTTAAATATAGCAAACCTTATTGTTATATTTCTATAAGTTACTAAATTACTATGCAGCTTCTATCTAGTAGAAATAAATAACTTATATACATAATTCGATTTAATAAACTAGTTTTATAGATCAATTATACTATACATCATATGGGCCAATATATATCATTATACAAAAAAGAAAATCCTATACCTTAAAACTTTTGATAGTAAAACAGGTTATTTGACAAAACAATTATTTAACAGATAGTTTATTAGACAATTAATTATAGTTATTATATAGATATATGTATATAAGTTAGTTATATACTAGTTCATATAAAAGCACATAGCTGAAGGCCACGTGATTAAATATGAATTTGGTATTTAACTAACTTATATATATATATCTATATAATAATTATATTATCATATGGGTCTGATATAACAATCTGTATATCACTTAACAATAATAATAATTAAACTATAAAAAACTTTTGTATTGAATAAACCTTCACTGCCCAACAATTGCAATTTAAAAAAAAATACTAACAAATTATAATATTAAAAAACAATTAACTAATTGAAGTTTTTGTTTTTGCCAATTATAATTTGTTTACTCTAGCCAATTACAATATTAAAAAATATACTACTAATTAGTTTTCATTCTAGCTAATTATAATTTTTTAAAAATCTTTGTCTTAGCTAATTACAATATTAAAAGACACACAATTAATTGAAGTCTTTGTTCCAACTATTTAAATTTTTTTTAAAAAAATATATTTAGCTACTTGTAAAAAAAAAATAATTTATAATATATCTTCAGTATTTAATCTATTACAATTATAAAAAAAATACCTAGTTAGATAAAAGTCTTTGCCCAATCTATTATAATTTTAAAAAATACCCAAATAATAAAAGTCTTTGCTAATCTATTGCAATTATAAAAAACACCCAGATAATAAAAGTCTTCATCTAATCTATTGCAATTATAAAAAATACCCAGATAATAAAGTCTTTGCCCAATCTATTACAATTATAAAAGAATACTCAGCTAATAAAAGTTTTCATCTAATCTATTACAATTATAAAAATATCTAGCTAATAAAATTTCTTTATCCAGTCTATTACAATTATAAAAAAATATCTAGTTAATAAAAGTCTTCACCAAATTTATTACAATTATTAAAAAGATCCAGTTAATAAAAATCTTTGCTCAATCTATTACAATTATAAAAAAAATACCAGTTACCCAATTTATTACAATTATAAAAAATATCTAGTTAAATAAAAGTCTTTGTTCAATTATAAAAAAATACCAAACTTATATATTAATATATAGTTTTATAACAAAATTGAATCCAGTTTTTGTTTATAAAAATAACTAAATTCATACTGGTCACTATAAAAATCATGTGTTACATAATTTTTACTAGTGTGATAGGTGGCACAAAGCACCACTCATCTTATTCAATATTTGAGAAAAATTTAGTAAATCTTAAATAGTAAATTTATTAATTAATAGCTTTTATACTTACTATTAAACTGAAATTAAATAATCATTGGTAGCAGAAAATATTAATAGTAAGTTATAAAATCACAAATTTTAGTAAATCTTTAAGCTTCTAAGATACATACTATTTGCATATTTTGATTAAATAAACATACCAGACTAATTTAATTTGGTGACTTATATTACCCCTTTTAACTTCTCCTCTCTCTTAGTAGAAAAAAAATTTTGGAAGTTGTTTAAAGCCTAAAATCTTATGAAGTTTCTCGATCATCGATAGTTACCGGATAATCACAAGATATACCTAATCAAACTAAGGATTTTTAAAATTTCTAGCAAAGGTTTCTCAACAACCACTTGATTAAATTCAATAAATTTTTTTATTTAATTCCACAAATATATAGAATTAAAATAAAAAAAATTTATTAAATTTGGTTTCAAATATCAGAAAAAGCTAAAATCAGGTAAATTTTTCTATTTCTAAACTTTAATCGAAGATTTCTTAACATTCATCTATCTAATTCAATGAATTTTTTTATTTTAATTCTATGAATCTATAGAATTAAGATAAAAAAAAAATCAATTGAATTTGATCAGATAAGTGTCAAGTAATCTTTATTTAAAGTTAAAAATGAACTATACAACAGTTATTATTTTAAAAATATTTAAACTTTGAATTAAGATTACTTGATACTTACATAATCAATTCAATGAAAATTTTTTTATTTTAATTCTATGAATTAATATAATTAAAATAAAAAAAATTGATCAAATTTTATGAGATAAGTGTCGAGTAATCTTTGTTCAGAGTTTAAGTATCTATAAAATAAAAACTGTATAAATTTCTTTAACTTTGAAGATTATTCGACACTTATCTCATCAAATTCTATCAAAAATTTTTTATTTTAATTCTATAGATTCATAGAAATAAAATAAAACAATTTCCATTGAATTTGGATGAATAATTGTTGAAAAATTTGTTAAAAGCTAACTTGTAAATTTATTATAGTCTATTCAAAATTAAAAAAGAAATTTGCTGCAGTTTTTATTTTATAGATACTTAGAATGAAGATTATTTGACACTTACCTCATAAAATTCAATCAATTTTTTTTTAATTCTATTGTTTCATAGAACTAAATAAATAAATTTTTATCAAAATTAATTAGGCAAGTGTTGAATAATCTTAAAGTTTAAGTATCTATAAAATAATAACTGTGGTATAGTTTTCTTTTAACTTTGAAATTTCAAATTAAAAAAAAAATTTAATAAACTTTCTATGTATACATCCCCTTTGAAAAAGAGATGTAATGTAAACCACCAAATCAAGTTGGTCTTGTCTAAATTAAAAAATTTTAGAAGTAATTAATAATAAATATAAGTACTTGTATTATATTATAAAAAATGATCAAATGCTTAAAATTGAAGGATAAAGAAATGTTAGTGAAACACAATATTTGAAATTGTTACTAAAAGAATCAACTATGCTAAATAACTTATTAAAATCATAAACCTACTTACCAATAATATCATAAATCTACCCAAATCATTAAACTATTTGCTGTTAAAGATTGTAAGAGAAATTCTAATAGAAACTAACTGAAATTGGTTTTCTACTCTAGTTTAAAAAAAAAATCAAATACAGAATATATTAGTATTTAAATAATTTTAACTCATTATACAAAAGAAATAAAATTTATTCTGCTTAAATATGAGGATAACTCTGGTTGAGATATAACCTAGTAGAATATAACCCAGGCATGATTGAAATGTTCCTGCAATTGGAACTAAAATTGTTATTTTTTGGTCATAATAATTCGGTAATTATGTCATAATTGCATATTAATAATCCAATTTATCAAATTACCTGAATATCATAACTTGTAACGACTAATCAAAAAAATTAAAATACACAGCTTCTTGCTTAAATTTCTCTGTTATAATAATTTGGTAATTATGTTATAATTGTATATTTATAGCCTAATAATTCAGTAATTATGTCATAATTGCATAGTGATAATACAATTTATCAATAATCTAAATATCATATCTCGTAATGACCGATCAAAAATGTTAAAGTACACAGATTCTCACTTAAATTATATAAATAGATCAAAAATGTTAAAATGCACAAACCCAAAATTTCTATACACTGATCACAGTTTTTGGATATGGCCAATCAAAAATGTTAAAGCGCACACACACAAA